TGTGGTACAAACCTGAACTTCAGCCAGTCAGTAGTGTCTTCCAGGAATTTCTAAGGGTGAAAGTGGAATGAGAAACTTGGAAGTAAAGAAAAATGGATTCAGTAATGGCCAGGAGAGTTTAGCTTTTAACCTAGTGATAGGCAGCTGTCAGTTTAAATGTCTCAAGATGAGTAAAGATTCCAGGCTGATGAACTCTGAGTTGTTTTCTTATGGAAACTTTCTCCTTGCTAGTTCCCCACACTCCTTGTTTTAGGCTTCCTTACTCAGATGAGCTGTCTACATCACAAACTGAACACACACAAAATGAATCTTCTGACTTTCTCTTCAGAACCTGCTCCTGCACAGCCCGTTCTATCATGGCAGCTGTCTCACATCAGATGCACAAGTGCCAAGTATGGAAGTCATTATTTTAAAATCTCATGACTCATATCCTGTCAATCAGCACAATCTCTTGGCTCTATTTGAAAACATTATCCAGATTCCAGCCACTCCTTCCTCCTATCCAAAACCATCCCTAAGCCACCTTTCACATGAATAATTGTAACCACCTCGCCTACCTTCAGTCTGGATTTATGGTAAAATGATGTTCCAACATTTGATGCAGTTCATCTTGCATTTTCTCTGCTCAAAATAGAACTGCATTATTTCCATTTTAATTAAAATGAAAGGTGGAACCCTTAGAATGTTTGCCATAACCTGTATGTTTTAAACTATTCTTTCTTTTCTCACTTCATTTCCTAGTACCATCACCCTGGCTTGATCAATTTGTGAATTCCTGACCACTGTTCTTTCTAGAACATTTTGTACAATAATTTCACTCTAGGTCATTTGCACATGCTGAATTTAGAATGTTGTTTCCTACAAGACAATGATGGGATTTGCTTCTTTGTCTCCTAAATGATTTCGTAGTGGCTAGTAAGATGGTTCATCTGGGAAAGGTGCATACTGACAAGCCCAATGATCTGAATTTGAGCCCCAGGTGGTGAAAAGGGAGAACAGACTACTGAGTCTTCTCATTTTCATGCATTCACCATTGTAAAAGTCCTAAATAAATAAATGCAGAAGAGCAAGGCCATAAGCCGGGCATGCTGGCTGATGTCTTTAATCCCAGTACTTGGAGAGCAGAGACAGGTGGATCTCTATGAATGTGAGAAAAAAATAATTGAGTACCACCATAAAAAGGGAAAGAGTGAAGGGAAATTAACCTCTTTGTGATGTGACTAAGAGATCTGAACTGGTCAGGTAGGGCAGGGATCCCACTGTAACAAGAATTCCAGAAGTTTCTGGTTCAAGGTTCCTTGTTATCTCTTCTAAATGAGCAAGCTGGCCTGGAGGCTATGTGAGAGGATGTGGCGACCTTACTGGAAACCTCATGGGTAGTTCAACCAGAAAGACCTCTTCCCCATGCCTGGCCCTAGTTTCTGCCCCAAGACCCATTTCCAGAGAACTACTCCTGTAAACAGGAGCTCTGCCCCTGTGCGCCCCCTCTTAAGCTCCCACCATGAATGTGTAATTTTGTCTGGAACTTACCCTCGATGGTCGGAATATTCTCTCAGTTCAAAGGCAAAGACCTTGAGCCCAGCAACTCCCTGGAAGTGGGTGTCTGTGAGTGCCTGGAACCATAACTCCTGAGTTAAAGCCCATGTGAGGCAAGAGGAAAGGACACCTCTGAACTCAAAGACACCCTACCTTCCTGTATCACTTGGGGTAATGAATGCTGTGAATCAAGTCATGTAAGAAATGACAGATCAGTTTTGAAACTTTAACTTTCGTCAATGAGTAGTGTATGTGTGTGTTCTCTTTCTTTTTTGAGTGAGGAAGATCAAGGCAAGTTTACAGAAATGAAGGAATATGGACATGGAAACAGCAGAAATGCCAGAACAGCTAGGGCTACATAGAGAAACCCCATCTCAAAACCCCCAAAAAACAACCAACTAAACAAACAAACAAAACAATAGAAATGCTATTCACTTAAAAAAAAAATGAAGTAGGAGACAAGGAGGATTCGGGAAGTAGTAGACAGGAGTTTCAAGATGTAGGACCATTAGGGTAGCGCTCCTGGCCCTCTCTCTGGTAAGATGAGACCACATGGAAATACTTAGATTAATAGAAATGGGTTAATATTTAAGACAGAGCTAGCCAATAAGTAATGTTAGTTACAGGCTAACAGCTTTATACCAAAAAAAAAAAAAAAAAAAAAAAAAAAAAAAAAAAAGAAAAAGAAAAAAATGATTTAAGGACTTTTATGGAGGAAAAAAATCACATAAAATATAAATCACTCAGGCTCTCCTTTTTATGTAGTCATTTATTCTTGAGCATACATTGTTAAAGAGAAAGCTGATCTTCAATACAGTGTTTGCTTTGTATGAGTGACTGTGGATATAAATTAAAAATAATAAAATGTCAAGAAAGGAGTCTGTGTACAAAGAAACACAGCAAATGTTCCTGTGGGCCTCTAATCCTTTAATCTCCTCCATCAAACACAAGCAAAGCCCGACATCAGAAAATTAAAAGGTGACCTTAGAGAAAGGAGGAAAGGTAACAGTGCAAACTACCAAGTCCCATATGTGTGTTTACTGAAAATACTGGGCTTGATCTAAGTTACTGAGCAGTCAGTCCTTCACCATGGCAGCTGTTACTGGGAATCACCAGGCTAGCTGAAATAGAACTCTTCCCTCAGAGCTTCTGGTCTGCTGATCTGAGGTACACCCCTAGAATAAACCTTTCAGGTGAGTCTAACTTGATTTTACTGAGATGAGCCACTGCTGGAGCCTATGGGGTGATGGGCAGGCAATTTCCTTATGCACATGGATGTCCTGAGTAGAGTTGGAGCTACCTGTGAAGTTCATATGTCACTAGGCATCTTTCACAGTAGTTGGCCTCAAGACTATGTCCAATTTATTTAACACATTCTTTGGGCTGCTTGTATTTAATGGAACTGGTATTCAGTAATATCAATTTAATGTATTTATACCTAGTTTCCAATTGTCAATATTGGCTACCTTGGAAGTCCTATATATAGAATGCTATGATGTTTGTGGAGTTTTGACCTCAACATATCATTCTGATAGGACCCAAGAGCCCCAGAATGCCTTCTTTCAGTTTCTAGCCAGCTAAATAATGAAATTTTTAGAATGGTCAGATTTAAAAGGGGTTGAGATGGATGGGGAAGCAGAAGTATTTCACATGTAAATAGGAAAGGGGGAATACATAATATGATACTAATGCCAGGCCAAACAACATGGGGATTTCCTGCTGGATGTGGGAGTATATAGAGTGTTAAATTAAGGGAGGGAAAGACTTAGTTGTGCAAGCCACAGGTCCCCAGATATGGATGAGGCAGTGGTGGTGAGTGTCTACTTGGGAAGATTTCACCCAGTTTTCCTTGAAGTTCTTCATGTTTTATTTCTTCAAACTTCATTGCCCAGGACCTCACTTTTTGGAACTTAAATTTTGTGCAAGCAAGACATTGCTGCTGTTGCATCTGTTCAATTGAAGGGGATTTCAAACTGCCAGGCAAAGGTTTTAATCCCTTCCCTATCAAAGACTCCCCTTGACTGCCCAGTAGAACTGAAACTTCTACTCACACTCCTGGTCTCATTCAGTTGAAAGTTACCAGGGAGGAAGCCAGGAAGCTGCTCTCAGTCACTGATAGTTTAAGATAACAAGGGAATGATTTCATCACTTGCATTCCTAAGAGGTAGTTTGCATGATAAGTACCACAAAAAAGTAAATAAATAAATAAAAGAGTTTTCCAGACCATGTCTTTTACTCTTCATCCATAGTGGCATGTCCTTCTATGAATGAAAAGAAGGAATTGCATACCATCTCCTGGTATCTATGTCTTCATCTTAGAGAGGCTCCTCATTTGTTAGAGTAACACAAGTGCTTGAAAGATAGGCAAGGGTGAATATTGATGAGGACAAGAGACAGAAGCAGGGTGGGTAGTTTAGGGCAAGCACCGGTTTCATTCTTGTCCTTGGTCTGGAGCTGGAAATGATATCTATCCTGCTTGGGTGGAGGCCAGAGATGTCATAAAGTAGCTTTGTTTTCTAACCTGGGTTCTTGTTATCTCTCTTTTCCTAAATGAGCTCCTCTTTCCGGAGGCTGCATGTGAGGGTGTGACTGAAACTATAGTTCAGACACTAGTTCCTCCTGATGAACAGTTTTGGAAGTGAATTTTGACCCACCCACAGCATAAATATTTTTAGGGTCTTGATTTTTGATTGGGAGAAGTTATAGTAGTCTTGGAAGTCATTAAGGATGGATGTCATGGCTTTGTTGAGGTCCAGCGAAGAAAATTTATTTCTTTTTAGTCAAAAGACTAGAATCTCTGTCTGGTTCTGGGTGGAAACATGCCATTCTCATCTACTCCAAAGATTAGAACATTATATACTATTGTCTCCTCCATTAGGAGTTAATCTAGCTGTGCCTAGTAGTCACCTTGAGAGGAGACCACCCCTCAGGAAAGATGACTCACCTAAAGGCATGCAATGGAGATGGGAGGAATAATTATCCCTTCAGTGAACTCATGGACTTCACCCTCTCAACCCCCCCCCCTCCATGTAGTAGCTTGCAGAGCACTGAAGTGGTATGACCACATTTCTGAGTCATTCTAGGACACTCTAGTATTTGACACTCTTCCTCTGAAGCCCCCATTCTCTTTTGCAATGAGGCTGCTTATCTGCCATGTGGCCACTTGCTGACCCCTGTTGTCCACTGAACCCATCTGCTTCCTTAAAGGCCTGGCTGTCAGTTTCTAGTCTCCCTCTTCCTGGCAACTGTCATAATTTGTAGCTTGTCTGGTTAATTATATTTCTCTCAAACAAAGAAGCAAAATGTCCTTGAGCTACCTTTTAAGTCTGCTTCTAAATTAATTTACTAATGAGACCAAGACCCCAAAGATGGAACCCGACTTTCCCTGGGACCGTAAATTGCGAGCAGTGTCCTTTTTCACGTATCTGCTTCTTACACACAGTAACAGTCTTGAAATACATGACTAGAAAACAAGCCATGAAGCTTTTATTTTTCATTAAAAAAACGACAATTTATTGAAAAAGAGTAATGCTTTATACAAATTCCCATCACAGTTCCCAAATATCAATTGGTCTGTTTCCAGGTTTGATAATAGGGTATAAAAATATCAATACTGTGTTAAGTTCTGACATCAAACTTCTATGGGATTATTTTTGGAATATAGAACTCTATGTAACATAGTTTGGCAAGTGTTATTTGTATGCATTCCTCCATTATATTTGCTTACTCAAAGACTAAAGAAATTAAGATATGATGGGGGATAGGGCTTATGCATGTCATCTTAACAGCTGGAAAGCTGATGCACAAGGACCTTTGGAACTTAGGAGTTCTTGGCCAGCATAGGCCACAGACCAAGACACTGCCTCAAACAACAAAAAGTTTTAAAGACTCCAGATCAGTTTAACTTAGTGAGCTTTAGTAGCTTATTGTTTGAGAGGCTTGTTAAGGAAAGAAAACCAAATAAAAATTTCCTCTTTCCAGTTGTTTGAAATAACCACGAAACCTATTAACATAAATTCCTTAATTTCTCTACAGCAACATGTTTCCCCTCATAAAACCATGTTTCCATGTGTCCCCTCTTGAATCCAGTGACATAGGCATGGCAGGAGTTACTGAACTCATTGTATAGGTGTAGCAATACATTTAGGGCAGCCAAGTAAGTCAGTCATTAAGTGATAGCACCAAGATTCAAATCGAGGTCTCAAAACGTCAATGTCAACACCCTTTTGATTGCATCATCTTACTCTGCTGAAGGTCCTTTCCTACAGATCAGAATAGTAAGAGCATTTGTCAAAATGAAAGCACTGAGCTGAGTAAGCCAGGCACAGCTAAAGGGGAGGAAATAGACTCATGAAAAAAGAAAGATACTGAGCAGCGTGAAGGTGTGTGTGTGTACATTTTTATTCAGTGACTTCAAAACTGTTAATTGAGCAAGGAAAAACACTGCTTAGGCATATTTCATGTTCAAAGAATGAGAGTCATATCAACTAATTAATACTCGCATTACCTCTACCAGCTGGTTAAGTGTAATTATCCCAATTTGACAGATGGGAAAAGAGGTATAAAGACTGTAAATTGCTCACAGCTATAGAGAGAATATTTGTCACTATATTATCACTCTTGCAAGTCTAGCACTTTGTGTAGATAAACAGACCACACCTCTCTGGGAAGAGCTAAACCATACATGATAATTATACATGAGAAAACAAGGTAGCCAAGGAAGGAAAAAAAAAAAAAAAAAAAAAACGTAGTTTGCAGACTATGGAAGAGTGAATAAGTATCTGAAAAATTCAATCAATAAAACTGTTCCAACAACAGAGTTAGCAGTATTGCCACTCAGAAAAACAAATATTTTCAAAGCAAACAAGACGGCTAGGGACCAAAGTGCAAGGACTGTCAGGGAAGGTCAGCAAAAAACACATCACCTATCCGGAAGATTTGCTTTCACAGCTCAGAAATGGAAGCACTAAGTGATTTGTGCTTGTTTTAAACTTCAAGTATGGGCTGTGAAATTCATTATTAGATTCGGGAGTTAGAAACAAACCTCAAAGTAATAGGCTGAAAGAGCAATTGTTGTTAGAGTAAAACAAAACTTAAATATGTTGTTGTGAAGAATACACATGGGAAAAGGGACAAAGTTAGAGTTGATATGGAAGTTTGGTCTTATGGCTAGGACACTAAATGTTGATCAAAGAGATGATATCTGACTGATCATATACGTTAATAGAGAAAAGGAAAAATACATCAGTAGGCTTATTTAGTCACTATGGGATTGTATATATTTTGAGTCATTTTAAGTATGCTGGTACCAATATAAGGAGAGTAAGAGGTTTTTAACTGTCTATGCTTTAATAGAAAATATGTATATATACATATTTATACACACTTAAGGAGCACCCTTCCCTCATTTGAGTGGGATTACTCAGTGGGAAGCAGCAATTTAACAGCAAAGGCTTCTTTCCTGTACTCAGGAAAGATGGTAAGGCACAGCCAAGCCCCTCATAGCCACAGGGATGTATAAAAATATGCTTCCTTTGTTATACTGCAGTTCAGATAACCATAGTCAACAGTTTAAGGCCTCAATGTCAATACTAGTTTCAATGTCCGTTTTGTATTTGCTTCAGTTGATTCTCTTCACCTCTGTCACACGTAGTCTTTCCCACTAGAAGGTGTTGGCTTGGGATAAGGCCGTGGTGTTGGGTAAGAGGTTGTTTTCCGGGGACAGGAGCAAGAAAGTAGGGCACCTCCCAGGAGGCAAAGGGAGGCAGCAGCCCAGCCAGTGAAGAGGGCCTGGCCAAATTCATACCTGAAAGAAAAGACAGCACCGTGCTGCTATGAGGAGCATTGGCAAAAGAAGAAAATCAAATAATTCCCATGATCCCTGGGGAGCTGCAGTTTGTGAGTACATCTGTGAAATAATGTTTACGTTGTAATTATCAATCATTTGCAGCACCACATCAGCAATACAACATGCAATACACCAATTTAATTACACAAACATTTCCAAAGTCCTTTCTAAGCAAAGGAGGTCTAGAAAGGATGTTTAGACACTTGAGAAGTGGGGACTGGGCCACAGTCCTAGTTTATTGCTTGGGAAGTCTACTACCCTCAAATAACAACCACTTCCATAACAAAAGTTATTAGTGACCCGATAACCTAGTTAAAATAAAGTATAAAATTTATATTTTGAAAGAAAAGCATCTGAATATCCCTGGGCTGATTCAGGGTTGAACAATGCCAGGTGGACATATTAACCCACATTCTTGGGATGAGGAACCTGTGGCTGACTATGGACATCACACAGAGAAAAGGGCTGGCTATGGAAGTCACAGTCCCAATGCAAGTTCGACTGCTGCAGCTCAGGACTGGCAGCTATACCTCTCCCCCATGGTTTATTCCCTCAAAGCAGACTGTCTCACTTGCTTCCCTGGAGGGTGTTCAGGGTAATGTGCCATCACTCAATAACAAGTACCCAGAGCCTGGCAATTCATAAAATGCTTTCTTATGTGCTCCTAGTATTATTACTCTGCTGAAAATGTGGCCCACTGAGCTCTGGCTGTTTCTGTTCCTCCTACATCATAAATCTTACAGGATGGGCTAGGCTCCAACAACTGCAGTAGCCTATGTTCTTCTGTCCGTGGGTGACTGTAAAAAGACACACATTTATCTCTGCAAACACTGGGATTTTTCATTCGCTCACCCTAGCACTCACAAACAGTAATTACATCTTAACATCCTAGCTTTGAATGTAGTCATTAAGCTTTATAGATGGGAAGACAGTGAGACAATAAGCCTTGTCCCTGATCAAAGAACAATGTTACCCGAGAGCCAAGACTCAGGTCCTGAACTTGCAAAACTTGAACTATTAAAGAAAGGTGACCCTTGTAAAGTCAATTTTGTAGTAGTAATGGAACACAAAATTTTAGTGTGGCCTCTGAATGTATTAGAAAAATACATCATGGCTTCAAGTGGAAACTATTGGGAATGAAGCACTATTTGTTAACCACTATGGTGGTTGTATTTCTTTCAATAAGTCATGAACCTGTATATTAGTTACAAGTGATCATAGGTATTAGAAATATCATAATACATTTCAAGAAGAACATGTCCAATACACTAACGTATTTGTTCATATGTGGGGAAGAAAGAAGATGTGATATATTGTTGGCTAAAATCCAGCTTAGAACATTTCTCCTTTGAAGTGCATTTTGTCAGCAGTACTGGCTGTTAAAGCAATTACCCAATTCATTTTAACACGAGTCACAGGACATTTAAATTGTTTGACATAAATTTCCATACAATTCTTGAAAGCAAATCTGAGGAACTAAGGCACTGGCAGGAGTCTGCTGAAGACAAAAAGGGTGTTTTTTTTTTTTTTTTTTTTTTTTCAGAGAATGAGACATTTTATGCATGATTAGCATTACCTGGCATTGACAGGGGTCATAGGGTCATAGAATTCTTGAACAATCCTATTTCCATACCATGCTGTGGCCACTAAAATCGCCAGACCTATGAAAATTCAAAGCAAAGCCATTAATCACGATGGGACACTGAGCAAAACACAAAACAAAACAAAACCCAATCCATAGACTATTAAACCTAATTGTATTCTATAAGAATTGAAATCTCATCAAGAGTGCTGACATTTTATTTTATTAGTATGGAAATCAATTTGACTTAGATATGATTCATTCCAACTGTTCTGCGAAGAATTACAAAGAAATTAGATTGAAGTTGGACTGAGATTATGCTATTTACGACATCTTATTTATTTATAGTCCAAGGCCACTGGCACAAATACTGTTCTTCAGGAACAATCCAACTGGTCCATCTTGTTCAAAACCTCTGTCAAAGCTCTGCAGTACTATAGTTTAGTGTGTGAAACTACTTTTGAAAAAATGTTTGTTCACGTTAGCAGAGAACTGCTTACAACAAGTAAGATGAAAATCTTCCTGCATTTTTCTTGACAAGTTTAAAATTGATTTTTAGGCTTGGATCCAGCGGCAAAAACAGAGCTAACTATGATGGGAAGTAAAACCTCTCACAGAATGAGCCAGAGCATCCAGAGTCTTCCTATCCCAGGTTTAAGGCAATGTGTAATATTGGAATCATCTGGTCAGGTGACACACTGGGTTGATTTATATAACTGAGCTCTATTACTAATATTCTGCAATCAATAATGGAAGGAAATTAGTTGGGCAATGCTACTCATTATAGTGTTTATGTGATGTCTAAATTATAAACTTTCAAGTAGAAAATAAGAATAAGTCTGAGAGATTTCTTTTATGATACAGTGACTACAGGGTCCTTAAAAATGCCAGAGAATATCCAGGTGGTGCACTAAGGAGGGACAGGTGGCCCTTTGTGAGTTCAAAGACAGCCTGGAGTATAGAGTTTGTTCTAGGACAATCAGCACAAAGAAACTCTGTCTTGAAAAACAAACAAGAAAGAGAAGGAGAAGGATGAGAAAAAGAAGAAATGCTGTATTAGTGGTTGAAAAGTGTTATTCCACAGTGTATGAGGCAAAATGTACAAACAGCTTAATTTACCTATTGTAGAATACATCTACATTTCAAAATACCATGATCCATGGAATAAATTCACATAAAAAGTCAAATTAAAAACTGATTTTAAGAAGAAGGTAAGTAACTCCTATTTTAGTATTTGATGGTACATAAGGTCACTCTGGTTGTCTGTGCAAACTAATCATGTACATGCTCTTCAACCTGAACTTCTCGGGACATCCTGGATTGCAGTGGGAATCATGGGTATGGGTGTGGTACAATACAATACAGTCTGTTGATGTAAATTTAAAACTTAGGAATAAAAGTGTATTTCTTTCTGGTAAGAGATAATTGGTGTTTGGACTAACTGAGCATCTGGTCACTTTAACTACATCTTCAGCAAAGTCGCACTCTGCCTCTATTACTGGCTAAGTCCACATACTATGCTGGCTCTAAAGTCAATAGTCGTCTTCCAACAGGAGAAATAAAGAGATAGGATCCAATTCTCTTTTTAGTAGTAATATAACCAATGTAATCGATCATTATGTACATACAGAGCATGGGATTTACATAATAGCCTATTGCTCAATCTATGTATTATATGGTGTCTACATATAAAAATAATCAATAGCATAGCTACAATATAATATCTATCATATTTAAAATATTCTTAGAAAGTTCTGAAATGGTGTCCATCATTTAGATTTCTTTGTTCCTTAAACATATAACCTAATGAGTTAGTCAACATTTGAATAAAGCAGAAAATGCTTTTTGTTTTCTGTGCGACACATAAGCTATTTTGTTAACAGTTTTCAGATTCTTTTTTGCAGTTTCCTTCCTTAGTTAGGCTAACTACATACCCCACCTTGTTAATATTCCATCTGCTACCCTCCAGTGGACCTATCTGCTATCTGATTCATCAGTACATGAAGTTTATTGTGGAATTAGCTCCATCCATCTACAATGTTATCTTTATCTTCTTCCACTCTCTCCAATCCTGTCTTTCCCAAACCAGTATCATTCTCATTATTCACATTTTAGCAGGCTTCCTTATGTTAGACACCTAGATACATGGAAACACTTTAACATTTTCTAAGTTCCTTTATAATGTGGAGACTTTGTATGTGTGTGTGTGTGTGGGGGGCGTCTTATGTGGCTGAGACTGGCCTTGAACTCAACATTTCCCTACACTCACCTCTCTCATGCTGGGATCATAGCCATGTGCCACCACTGCCAAATAGCGTATTCTGAATCACATAAAATTGGTCCAGACACTTTTGCTAAGTATCAAATATCTTTCCGAATCTGAAGAGACTGAGCCTAAGAAACAAGTGGGCACACGAGTCATGGTTGTACCTGACAAAAGTGCCCACATGTCAACTTTTCATTTGATTCTTACTGAGAACATGAAAGCCAGCTGAATGTAAGGCCCTGACGGTATCTGTAAAGTGTCTTACAAATGAAATGAGAAGATACTTTAAAAACATCCAAGTACAATGAATATAACATAAAGTAAAGAAACTAAACACTAGAAAACTGAATTTCCAACCACACTTGAGAAAAGTCGGTAAAGGAGGAAGGGTCTCTTACCAGAAGTGATAAATATTCCGCCCCCAATGACAGCCATCCACATCTTTTGCACCTCATCGTCTTCCAAGCACTTCATGCACTTCATGCCAATGGTGGATACAAAGATTGCAATCAGCCCCAGGAGGATGCCAATCACCATCAAGGCACGAGTTGCCTGCAAAGTACCTGAGAGGAAACATTCAGAACATGTAAAAATCCTGCCTGGACAGTAAGGGAAGAACAGTGGGAGACAGGCTGTATTTCAGTGTTCTTTGGGAGGGAGAAAAGTGAGCAAGGAGTCTGAAGGACAAAGAACAGTAGGGACACTTCTGCTGTAGCCACCAGAACTGTTGCTAGAAAGATGAGCAGAGAGTCAGTGGGATGGCTAGGACTTCAGTGATTAAATTCAAAATCAACTGAAAAAATAATAACGAACCAGCTGAATTGGTCTCACTGAATTGAATATGTAATCATCACCACCTGTGTATTTAGATTCTGAACTAACAGTCATCACATTATTCTTAATGGTTACCATTTGTAATTAAATGTCTTAAAATACATGTTTAGTACTAGTCACTACTTTTAGACTATAATCTTTATCCTTCATAAAAAAGTGAATATGGATGATAAATGATATTTTCAGAGATGACCGTGGCTAGATAAGCAACATTTTATCCCCAGTTATGAGAGGTTGAGTAGGGAAGGATATAGCCTGCTAACATTGATGTCAAGGCAATCTTTAAGATGGTAACTTGGAGAATAGCAGTAGATTCATAGAAAATGGCACCACCAGTTTTTAAAACTACAAAATTTTCATGTTATAATGTCAGAGGTTTCTCAGGTGTCTGCCAATTTGTTAAAGTCCCTGTTCCTATCTTTCTTGTGTTGTGCTATTACCAGAGATAGGTTTGAGAGATTGAGCCAGTGTGTCTCCTAAGGAATAAAAGCTGAAAGCCAACATTGTGGTATAACAATATATGGTATGTGTGTGTGTGTGTGGAGGTGCACTGGTTAGGATGTCTTTAAATTACAGATTCATTTATTATTTCAACTAAACATCATTGTATTATATCCTTAACACCAGAAATGGTAGGTTGCAAAAAACTAGGATCTTGGAAAAACTACCTAATATTATTTAGGACCATGTCAGTATTTTATGAAGGATAACACCCCTACTGAGTGACTTAGAAGAACAGTTTGCCCCTTGTTGTCTTCAGAGGTGAACATGATGCTGACAACCCCAAGATACTTAATGTGTACACAGGATTGGTCTTCCCACTTCAAGACTAAGCAGTTAGGTTACTAATCTCAATTCCACAAAAACACCCTTGGAACACCATGTTCTTTTCACTTACTCCCATTTCTATCCTTGTTATCACAACCGATGGCAGAATTACATTAATTCCTTCCTAAATTGCATCAAATGCATTTTCACAGAGTTTCAGTGATATTTGGCAACAATTTTTACTCTTTCATCAAAATGCAAAACACTACACTCTCTACTTCTTCCGTCATATTCATCGGCTCTATCATAAGTGGGCAGAAGAGCAGGAGAGGTGTGCATGGGTTCCATGGTGACAAAGGAACGACAGGATCAAAGCTATGTTCCATACCCATGGCTTTACTAGGAACTAAAGCTGTTCACATGACCACTCAAAAACTTTCCTTGGAATCACACCCCATGCTGTGGTATGAAGAGGAAAGCCCCAAGGACTCTCAGTTAAAACGTTCACTTCCTTCTAATTTATTAGCAGTAGTTGCAAGGGCAGCTGTTTTCTTACTAGGAAAAACAAACAAACAAACGAAAAACATGAAAAACAAATAGATAATTACATTCTTATAAAGTACAGATGTCAGATCTGGTTCCAATGTTCAGCACAGAAGGAAAGCATTTGGGAAGATGCTGCAGTCAATAAAGGGATCCATGTGTCTGGAGGAGAGCCTGCTGGTTTGCCCAGGCTACTCTGTATTTAAATGAAAAGTCCAGACCTGGATCCTGATTAAACTGGGGTAACTGGTTATCCTACATATAAATGACATGGTGGGAAGTGGACTGACATTTATCAAGGTTGGCAGAAGGCACACACACATGTGTATATGTGTGTGTGCATGTATACACACACACACACACACACACACACATCACTTATGCAGACATACCTACATACACATGCACCATATACATTAAAGTTTTGTTGGCCATGGTCAGGAGTTCAGAGTCTATTTCAAATGTAATGAGAAGTCATTGGAGGATCCTAAGGCGGGTGACCTGACTCTTACCCTGAGTGTAGGAACAATATAATTAGAAAACACCAATGTTATGGTAGCCCTTCACAGAGATATATAGCCTCTTCTTTCCCAGACACCTCTTCTTTATTTTGTCACAATTAACTTGTTTTTCAACTCTCTATGGATGACTTCTCTTGGTGTCTTTGATCTCTGTAGAAATTGGGCCTGTTGCACAGCTCCCACCCAGACTACACTCATGAAGTCAAAGCACAGGCCACCAGTTCCACAGGTCTGAGCACTGGGCACAAAACATCTTTCAGGAGGAGCCTCCTGAATATCAGTCTCAAGAATCAAGTTTATGAAACATCTGGTTTTTGTTTTTTTATTATTCAAGAAGCACTTAGGTACAGCCTATGAATGTGTCATCCACCTCTACTTTCACAAAAATTTCACCTTTAAATTATCAAGAAGGCATCTGTGCTTCACACTATTACTTTTTTATTTGCTACTTTGGCAAAGTTAAGGAGAAATGAAACAACCCTACAGTGCTTTCTTTTCTCATAGAACAGTGTCCAACATACAGACATGGAGCCAAAGAACAATATATTTTATAACTACAGAACCATAGAGATGAGGGGCCTTATTTCATTTTAGAACATAATGAAGCAGTACAAAATAAGAACGCTGGTTTGCAAAGCAACATTTTCCATTTACATCTGGAAGCCACAGAGTTATGAATTATCCTCGGCTTTTTGTTAGACTGGTATCAAATGGAGACATCGGGGTAACTACTAACCGAAATGATATGAGCAGAAAGTATAAAAATAATATAAGCTTTCTCACACACCACAGACAATGGTGGAAAATTGTAACAGCACCTATAATGAGGCAAAGACACTATTATTCTAAGGTTGTGACCACTTTGCGTGAAGACACATTCTCAACTGGAGTTTTCAGCTGGGCTGGGTGAATGTTTTCCAGTGACGGCCTTGTGGAAGCCATTTGAGTCAGAGCCTCAAGTCTGAACTGCTGCTGGGTGCTGACACCTGGATGGCTTCCATCTGAAGCTGCTCTCCCTTCTTGACCAGTCATGTGCGTCATTCAAACTATTCTCAGTGAGCTTGGACTAGAAGGATGCCTGTGCTCCTCAAAACTGCTATGTGACATAGAAAGCATGTACTTATGTTAAGCTAAATCTTCAAAAATCATACTTATTTGACAGACACCTCCTTTGAAGGTCTAGGGATGCCAAAGTTTTTGTATGTAAAGCTAAGCTTAAGTTAGGCTCCAAAATGCTAGAAATTCTTGCAGAGGGGAAAACTGGACTTGACACAGTTCCTAAGTTCTCTATTCAATGAACCCTTGTGATGGGTGTTTTTCTTTCTTTCTCTGTCACCAAAATGAGGAAGGCAGAGCATAGAAGTTGCTAGAGAAGTATGAATGCTACAAAATATACTATATACCATATACTGTTACACTATACTTAGTAGCACTTACATTTCTTTCTTGGTCCTTTAAATTTGTAGCTAGCTCTATAACATTTTAACTAAAATTGTGTATGGAAAAAAACAAAACAAAACAAAAACAAACAAACAAACAACAACAAAAAAAAAAAAAAAAAAAAAAACCAAAAACCTGGCTAGCAAATCTTGGAAAAGTTACACTATTGTTTCTGAGCATTAACTGGCAGTAAACAGGCAGGCAGTCTTTTAATTACACTCAGCCAGATTGAAATTCTGCAGCTTAAAGACCCCCTAAGGAGTTCTCACCACTCTCAACCTGAAAGTATAATTAAAAAAATACTTACAAAGATCTCTACTTATAAGACAAGAAATGAGTTAGACACCATCCTTCTACTACAGTTATTTTAACCAAAGTTTGCAAAGACATGCATAGACAGGCAGGGATTTTTTCACCCTTAACCTTAAAGACAATCTCCAAGCAGTAGAATCCCCATAAGTACTTGGCTCTGTGCTATTCCCTATTACCATCCCTATATCATGAGCAAGCCCGATTTTAATGGTATTTCTGCCCTCACATAGTCCTAATATGTCTCTGGGGATAAACTAACTGCCTGCTGTGAGACTAGGGCCAAAATGCCCTTTCTTTCTCATAACTAAATGAGCTTATATGGACTGCCAGAGTACACTGCTGTAGATTCTTTGATTATTATGGCACTCACTTTTACCAATGTTCAAAGTTTCACAAGTGCATTTCTGTTCCACAGGTGCATGAGCTGGTGGGCTAAGTGGGCCATCAGCACATAAATTCAATCTGTGGTCCAAGTGGTTCAAGAGGATGAGGGCTTGGTACCTCTCAGGCAATCCTGAGAAGTTTTGCCATCTCTCTCTCTCTCTCTCTCTCTCTCTCTCTCTCTCTCTCTCTCTCTCTCTCTCTGTCTTTAAAGCATGACAATCATTTTTTTTAAATGTCTTAGTATTAAATGCATGTCCTGTAATTATTGTTTCCATGGCACTACTTTGTTTTTTAGTAAAATGGAATTGCACCGTTTTCCACTGTCCTTTCCTCTTCCGGAGAACCTCTCCCACTCACTCCTCACCTCAAATAACTTTTTCCATGACAATTATCACTCTGATCTAGGAAACCTGTGCTAAACTGCTTGCTTTTTCTCCTTTAGTCACTGCAGTTAGTAACAAAGAAAGTTGACACTGGCTAGAGTCTTCCCTGCATTCCTACAAGTGAAAATAGGGCCAGGCTCAGGTTTGCTGAATAGATGAGTGGACCCTTGATTCATCCCTCTATTCCTCCTACTCTGCCCTGTTTTCTGAATGCTGAATCCACCTTAGTCTAAGTGGCTCTCCCTGGATCGTACAAACTGGGGCAGGAAATAAACATGTTTTCACTTAGAGCCTTGGCTCTGGCTTCATTTTGTTTCACTCTTCACACCCATGGCTTTTTTGGAATGTTCACCTTTTAGCATCATAAAGGAGTCTGGAGAAGCCTGAGTGGCCGCTGTCCTTTCTGCCTGTGCTGCACAGACATCCAAGTCAGTGATTCTGCTCCTCTGATGCAGCCTGACATCACGGTGAGAGTGCTGGGAAGCCTCATGACAACCAATACTCATTAAGCACACCTCCACACATGTGGATTCATGCAGAGCAAGTTCAACAGGCTGGGGTAGCTTATAAACAAATTACAGAAGTTCAGGGCTAGATGAGACTTAAAGAGAGGCTAGCATAACCTCCCATTTGTCTGGTGCTTGGATCTTCACAACAGCATTCCTACAAAAGTGCTTACTTCTCCTCTGCTCTGATACCTCCCAGCATGCAGCCTCCTGGGAAAGCCCTGTCTTCGAACACTGCTGGCTATTAAAGTGGAACAATTAGGCAACTGGCTTCCCACAATGTTAAGAATTCAAACAAAACCAAGAGAGATGGGGGAAGTGGATCAAGAAAAAAAACACTAGAACTGCACCTGGTCCCTTCCTTTGTATGTTTAAATTTCAGCTGCAAGGGTCATCATTCTAAAATAAATATCACAAAAGGAAACAGTCTTGGCTGCTACAGACCATAATTCACAGTGTAACAATTGCTTCTCCAGGAAAATTTTCAGCTACATTTTCTCAAACTGTTTGGCCCAAACTACATACAACATGGCCTCTTTCAGCTGTATACAGTGGTTCTCTATCCAGTGTAATAATACTGCTTCCTGTGCATGTTGTGTAAGGGTCATGTGTTTTCACAACTGATACCAGACACAACAGAAGAAGCAGCCTGGAATGTCTTGTTACAAAACACTGACACTCTTTCTTGATACTTAGATGAGGTGGGCTCTGTTGGCAAAGCTTGGAAGCATAATTTTAGGAAGCCCATAGCCATGCCTCTTACCTCAAAGCATCCCTTAGAGGTACCCTTCACAAGGCATGCTACTCACACACACAGAGAATGAACCTTTTCATCTCCAGGCGTCAGGGAACTACATACACCAAAACCGGCCAGTGAATCACCAACCAAATCTCTTCATCAGGTGGGCGTGAACACCACAGCTCAGGTGCAGAAACAGAGACAAGTTTTCTGGGCCTGGTCCAAAGGCATCTAGTGAGTGAATCACTGCTCAGCTGGGAGAGAAGACATGAGTCAAGGCTCACGCCTCTGGGAATTGCTTTAGGGATAGAGGCCCCTGGACTCCATCTTCAATAAACTATGGTTTTAACCAAAACAGAAGACAGAAGCTGTTTGCTGCTAAAACAAATCAACACACAGGCACTTGCTGAAAATGCTTGTGATGGAAGGATATTTGCTGCTTGTGTCAGTTTTAGGAACTATAATAACTATATTAGCAAGGAATAAACTATAGAAAGACATGTTGTATAGTAGTCTGGGTAGGGATGATTTGAGCATTTGCTGTATGGACTATTACTCTACCCAGCCATTTGAGAACATTCAACCTGATAAAATGAAGAATTTGGATTAGAAGAACAAAACTGGCAAGGAGGCTCTCTGGACTTGCCCATAACACATCTCACCTGCCAGCTCCATAGTACAGTTCTCAAAGTGCTGGCCTGGAACCATTTCCTTAAGTGCATTTCTCTTTCTGCCACTATGTTCCTGATTTCCCAATTGTTAACAGTACAAATGTACCCAGGAAGATAGGTAATACCAAGACACACTTACCAAATGTATAGATTACTTTTGATACAGGAGTCCAGATGTGGGGACAAAACCATATTGGCTAACTAAATTCTTCAGGGACTCAGGGTGTCAAGCTGATTTGTGGCAGTTCTCATAACTGTAAAATGAAGTGCACTGGCTGGGGTAGATGAAGAACCCTGGTAGGATGGGGACAAGGCCAGCACTATTGACTCTAGCTTTCACAGAGGACTGTGGGATAGCTTTGTTTAGGCAAAGGCTAAGGGAGGTCTTCCTGTGAATTAAAGGGTAGGACAGACTCACAGGACACATACAGTGCGATGTGTCCAGGAAGAGAGAACACCCATGAATGGCATTACTTAGGTGGGAATTTAATGGCTCTCTGATAAAGCACTCAACATTTTTTTTTATCTAAATGTGAAGGGGAAGGCATTTTATCATCTGTTTCTCCAGGACCTGAAGAAATACTTAAGTCTATATACTCCTTTTGCACTTCATACACTAGGAGTGATACGCCATTACATGGAGATGGCTTTGTAGAAGGGAAAACACGGAAAAACTCCTCTTTCCTCCCAGCCTTCTTCCCAGCTGGTATCTGCTTCTGTGAGCGACACCCATTAGGCTGCCTCCTTCTGTGCCCTAGATCTTTTCATACTGGCCAGGTTATTCACAACTTTTCTCCTCTGTGGCCCCCCTCTCCACATGCCACTAGCCTTCTCGTCCTAAACTTTTACTGCACAAGTTGCCTCTTCTGTAGACCCTAGGTTGGAAAGTCAGCCTTTTCAGGGAATCTCAAGAGGTTCCAAGGAGGAAAAGCCAAAAGACACAAGATTTAACCTTAGCCATGAGACAAAAGTCAGAAAATCCCTTATTTGGTATTTCTGAATGATTTACTTAACTTTGAAGGTTTGAAAACCTACCCAAAGTGTACTGTTTTCTTGACCAAACCCTATTAGAATGTGCAGAAGAGGCCCAAGAGTTCAAATTCCACTGTGGTTTCACCTTCTCCCATTCTCCTCCCACCCTGATTGGAATTTGAGGCTAAATCACACCCAGAAGAACCAAAGGTGCCAAGCAGTGACTTAAAAGGCAAATCTAGGGCTTTGACCTGAGGCTCGGGTTCTTTCTGTTTTCTCACGACAGAGCACATGCTCAGAATAAGCTTTGACCAACTTAAGAGAGGGTAACTCCGTATAATCACAGGGCAGCTCCAGGATAAATGAAGCTACAGTAGAGAACAGGGGCTCCCTCCTCCCGAGGCCTGGGAGGCGGTGTGGGCTTTGGGGAGAGAGTTGTGAGAGGTGAGGAATGGAGAGTGCACTCACTGTTCAGATTCAGCAAGGAGTCGAAGACTTTGCATTGTATCTGCCCTGTGCTTTGCGAAACGCAGGACATCCACAGTCCCTCGTAGATGGCCTGGGCGGTCACGATGTTGTCCCCAGCATAGGAGTAAATCTTCCACTGGGGAAGGGCAGTGCTGACGATGGAGCCTATCCATCCCAGCGAGGCCAAGATGAAGCCCAACAGCTGTAGCCCCGCATTGGCCATGGCTCTGTCCAAGGCTCGCGCGGGCTCAGTGGCAGGTGCAGAAGGCTGAGTTTGCAAGGTGCGCAGCTGGGCTCCCGAAGGTGGCGAGGTCTCGGCGAACAAGTTATTGCTAGGACCCCTGCTCCCTGTGTGGCTGCGGGCAAGGCTCCTGGCTTCTGGTCCGGGTCAGCCGCGGAGTCTGGAAGCGAGAAGGGGCAGAGTTCTCTGAGATGCAGAACCGCCCGGCGCGGCGATTTAAAGCAGCTCCGCCCCTCCCGGCATGCAGCTCCCTCTGGCGGTTTCATGGCCCTGTCCCCAGGAGGAGCGCTGGGCCTTAGCAGGCCACCTCACCACGGAGGGGGATGTCCTGTGGGCGACCTGGGGACAGCCTGGAGAGAATCAGGCATGCTTTCCTACTCCCTCATTTCCCTCTTAGCTCTTAATAGGCATTTTCTTCATTTCACTCCATAGTTAACACAAAATTTAGAGTGTCTGCGTAAGAGCTTTTTAAAAAATGCATAAAAATGAAACAATGGAGGGACCCAGAATCCGATTTTCACTTTAAAAATCTTCCCAGTTTTCTATTCAAGAATACATCTAACTTCATTCTCCCCTACTCCCATCTCCCTCGGGCACCTTCTTGTTTGATTAGGTCTCTCTCTCTCTCTCTCTCTCTCTCTCTCTCTCTCTCTCTCTCTCTCTCTCTCTCTCCCTGCTTCCCCCCCCCTCTCTCTCTTTCTCTTTCTCTCTCTCTCAGGGGGGGGCTCTATTTCCATCTACTTTTCAAGATCTTCCTATTAGGTTTCTCCCAGAGGCCTCAGAGATCTTGACACTGTATAAATTAAGGAAATGGTACCCAGAGAGTGTCACAGGGCAGGACTTGGCTCCCTGTTCTTTGTACTTTCCAGTACAATTTCAATTGAAGGAAAAAAATAATACATCCTTTGAGTTTTCATCTCCTTTTGAAAATGTTGCCCCATTATCCCCTACACCCAACACACACACACACACACACACACACACACACACACACACACACACACACACCCCTACCTTTAGCTTAAAGCAATTTGCTTAGCATAGCAACTCCTTATCTGAGGCTCCTGACTAGGGACAAGTTATCTGATGGAATTCAGCAAATTCGCCAAACAGCCCCTCCCAGATGAAGGAGGAAGCAGGGCCTCTTGGACCCAGCCTTGGTGGGCAGGCCACCTCCTCAGGCTTTGCTCTAGGCAGCCTCTAGCCTAGGCTTTCTTGTTTGTTGTTCCTCAGATGCCAACGTTGTGGTTTAGAATAATTAAAACGTTTTCTCAGTTGTTATTTTGCACACGCTGTGAGTGAGTATGGTGGGGAGAGGAGCTGCTAAAAAGGGGGCTTGAAGTCAGAAGTAAATGTGAACAGGGGATGCCCATGCATGCGAAGGAAATGACAAGCTTGCCACAGGAAGACATGGTCGAAGCAGAACACCGAGAAAGAAGCCCTGCCACTCCCACTCCCAGCTGTTTCAGACCTGCTTTGCCAATGCTTAGCAATAAGGACCTGGTATCCTAGGGGACTTAGGGAGCAGCCATAACAAGGACCCTAAACTGAGAGATAGTAAGATTAAAACAAGTGCCGTCTTTCCCCCCAGCTTTTCCAAAATGCTAAGGATCTGTAGGCACTGCACGGCTGTGCCAGGCTTGTGCCTTAGGCCCTGGGTCTGAGGGCTGTACTACTCTGTGAGTTCGGAGGAGTATTCTCCTGGTGCCTGTTGTCTGCAGGGCAGATAAAATGTCAATCATGCTGCAGAAATTCCCAGAAGACCCACACTGTGTGAGTCACAGTGAATCAATTTCTGCTGTCATTTTTCAGAGTCATTTTCAAATACAAGATGTGAATTCATTGAATGCATTTGTACTGGAGCTCTCTAAGCCTGCATTAGGACCCATTTCTGTCAAACTGCAATGACGTGGTACTGGTGGCATGAATTCTGTTTTATTTTGTTTTGTTTTGTTTTTAATCCAGGTCTGTGCAAGACTGGTTATTTCACTGCCCACAACTGTGTTTGGAAGGCTGCGTGCGGTGAGCTTCCCACTCTACGACTTGGTGCTCACCTCGATTGCCTAATCCCGTCTAGTTTTTGGTCCCTAGCCTCAAAGCAGCAACAGATGACATAATAGCTCAGCTTAAATCCATTAATTTGAGAAGAAAAACAACCTACAGACATCAGTGTTTCATATATGAAGTATAAATATTAAAGGCAATAACACCATCCCAAGGATTCTAGACAGGTTGCCAATGCAATCATATGAAAAGTCAATCATGTGCATATAAATTATTTTGTTTTTTCTGCCTCAGTTTTTCAGTCAATAAAAGTGGGAGCTGACTTCTCAGTGGTCACCTGTCTACAGTGTACACTTGTGAGACGTACATCCTTGTCAATTGCTACATGCCATCTCTTCAGTGCTATTTTACCTCCATGCAAAGGGAGCAGAGTCAGGTGACATTGCATTCCCAAGGACCATTTGGTAACGTGCAGAATTGGCAAAACTCTGCTCTGGAGCACAGCTGTTGAGCCAATGCCCTGCATTTCTCCACAAGTACCAAGCACACTGAGGACAAGTAGTTTTTCCCTCAACACCCTTTTGTGCTTTTTGGTTCAGACAGTGAGTGATGTTCTGCTCCCTGATAGTCTGCTCTGGGGGTGTCCTGAGTCCCTACATGGAGGATTGTTGGTGCTGCTGAGGAGGGGTGATATGTGAGCTAACAGAAAAGAGCCCATCAGAGATACTTAGATGACTAAGGCTTGGGATCAGTGATGACCCTGAGAGCCAGCAGAAGAGACACACATACAAATGGAAACAAGAGACCAACCATGCTGAATACACTCCCCAGGGACAGGGACAGGGTGATTGCCGAAAGGACAAAAGCTTTGGGATGAAAAACATACACTTAGGGATGGTGTGTGTTCAGGCTCAGTTTAGAATGGTTGGGGTGGATAGACACACCACTGAACAATCTGCTGTGTCAAAAATAATCATTGTTCAAGTGTGAAAATGTAGCATGAATTCTGGTGTTAGGATATGAAGGTAACTAACATTACAAACCATTGGCCCATGTCTAACCACACCTTAAAATAGCCTTTTGAAACTGTAGCATTTGAGAGGATAAGTGGAGGGTTGTAGTTAAAGAAAAGTATTAGCTGCTTGTGATATGTAGTTAAATGTATGCGTATGATTTCAGGGTTGACCAAGTGGCATTTGATAACCAATGGGAGGATTCCTTACTGGGGAGAACTGCTTTTTCCCATTCTCAGTATTGTATTTCTCAGTTGCCTGAAGTTCTTTATTCAGGGTTGGAGCCCCCATGGGCTTTCTCCACATCATACTAACATGCTTGCTGGTATTGCCTTTGTTCAGGTAGTCCTTGTTTAGGCAGCCATGTTGTTGAGACTTCATGTCTGTAGCTTTCCTGGCATTTCTAGAAGGTGCAATCTCACAGTAGACATCCATTCCTCTGACTTTTACAATTATTCTGTCCCCTCTTCAGCAATGCCCCCTGATCATTAGGTTCAGAAGTTGTTTTGTAGATAGGACAGTTGGGGCTGGGTACCACATGATCACTTGTTCTCACAAGGGGGAGGTGGTACATGAAAGGGGGCTGGAGGAGGAAAGGAAAGGGGAGAGGGATGTAATTATATTTTAATTTCAAAAATGTTTCTAAAGCACCAAGCTTGTGAACCTGATACACTTACTAGAGGAACTCGAGAAATTCACACATCATTGCTCTCTTTTCTGTGAATTAAAGCTAGGGTTGTGATGGGGTTTGAAAAGAAAGATCATGCAAATTGCCTAGTAAATGGGAAGCAAATATGAAATGGCAGCTATTATTATTTACACAGATCAGATTCCGTACATTGTCTCACCCTGTCATTTGCAAGTGATCTTCATGATCATTCAGAAAAATCCTTTCTTGCCTTGACTCTATTAAAGTCCCATTTGATAACACAGTTATCATGATGATAAAATAAGCAGCTCTCAGGGCTATAGGGCAGCTCATCATAAAGGTGTTTGATGCCAAGTCTAATGACCTGATCTTAATTCTATGGACCTACAGGGTGGATGAAGAGAATTGCCTCAGAGTGTGGTCCTCTAATTTCCATGTTCTGGCCATGGTACAGAACCTACACAAACAAGCATATTATACACTAGATAATAGATAGATAGGTGATAGATAGATAGACAGCTAGGACATAGATAAGATAAATAGATGACAGACATGAAATTAATAGATGGTAGGTAAATTATAGATGATAGGTAGGTAATAGATAGATAATAGATGATAGCTAAAAACATGTTTTGTGGTTCTCAGATGGATACAAATTCATACACACATCACACAGATCAATCTATTCATAGATGGAATAGGTAGGTAGATGATAGATAGATAGATAGATAGATAGATAGATAGACAGACAGACAGACAGATAGATAGATAAAAACATTTCTGCAGTTCTCTATCAGGAAGACACCAGCCTGCTCCAAGAAACAGAAAAGGCAACAGAGATGGGGTTGTGGTATTAGATGAAGTTTCTCATCCCCTCTGGGCATTATGCGGTTTCCCTCTCTGAATTCCCTGTACTTCCTGTGACTAGGATAAGAATATGAAACATTCTTCCTGAAAGCCCTGGAATGCTAAATATGATCAATGAGGACATCAAAGGGGAGGACTCAAAGTCTTTAGTGAATGAGTTTCATGATCAACTATCAATTACCATCCAAGCTTCTCCTTGGACTTTCCCCTCCACTCTTGATCTCTCTTCAGCAAAATGGAGGAGCAAAGTTGGGGTTCCAGTTGCAAAATCTACTTTAACCATTTTTACATAGTTGGAAGCAAGTTGGTGGAACTCTGCAATATCTATCCCTTGCTTATGTTCCCATGGAAAATGTTTCCTTAATCAAGGGAGGAACCAGTAACATCTAATTAATTTGGTCATGGAATCAAGGATATCTCTGTTGTGATATTTCACTTTTCATCCCAAGATGTAAGAACATCTATACTAGTCATATACTTTAGAAAAATGAATGGTTAGAGTGAAGACATATTGTTTGTGAACATTAGGAAGAGAGAGTGAATGAAAGAGTGCAAGAGGGAGACAGATTGG